GTTTCATAATAACTGAGGATAAATTGTTAATGATATTTTTCATACTATTTCTGGACGTATAGGGCTGAACTTTTTATCACATATATATCTAATGAAGATCTTTTATTTCTGAAAGCCTTTCAGAAATAAAAGAATCTCTAGTTATAGCTAGAGAGCTCAAACGGTTTGAGCTCTCTAGCTATAACTAGTGGTGGAATACATCGATAAGACTGAAGCACATCAATTTTCGAAATTGATTTTTCAATATTTTTTATTGTGAAAATATTGCAGGATATTTCCATGAGTAGTCAACTAAAACAATCACAATTTTCTTTTGAATCAGACTTTATAGAGCTTTTTCTGCTGATCATTTTGGTAAAAAAATTTTTCCAGTTTCATTGAGAAATAAGGATGTTATAGACAAAATACTGAACACTGAAAATAGGTTAAAATATAACGAAAAGTCGATTGACATATCTCAAAATGGCTATATTCTGGAGAAATGAGACGCAGTAGGATTTGTAGAGGAAAGTTTGCTCTACAAAATCCTATAGTCGGTTTCTCAAGTACAGACAAAAAGGATGAATAATTCTCGATTGAATATTGTATACGATATTCCTATCGAAAAAATCTGACATCTTCTGTTTTTTGCAACAAATATTTTGACTATAACATCGCCATTTCTCAATGAAATTCAAAACATTTTTTTATCAAAATGATCAGCGAAAAAGCTCTACAAAGTCTGATACGAAAAGAAATTTTCTGAATACTTTGTGATTTTTTGGTTGACTACCCATGGAACTACCCTGCTATGCCGAGTACGAAAATTTATGTATTTCAATCTTGTCGATGCAGTTCACCACTAGTTATAGCTAGAGAGCTCAAACTTTCAGAAATAAAAGATCTTCATTAGATATATATGTGATAAAAAGTTCAGCCCTATACGTCCAGAAATAGTATGAAAAATATCATTAACAATTTATCCTCAGTTATTATGAAACACTCTTTATATTTCTTATTTGCGCTAAATGAATTATATTTTCGTTTTCATAAGCTACGTACATAGTGATTTTATTGTTGAAAATGAACTTTGTATAGTTTGAAACGTCGAAAATAATTTATAATTAAATATAATACTTTAATGAATGTTATATAGCAAGGCCGGGAAGTGGATCCGCCCTCACCGTGGCTTAGTGAACATTTTTTGGCCGAGGGTGAAAAATGTCATATTATTATAACATATGCATTCCACTGAAGTATTTTTACATTTTTGGTGACTTGTCGAAAGTTTTTTCAGAGTTCAAGTTAAATCCTTGAGAAAGTTCTATTTTTCCACTGAGACTATAGTAAAATAAAAATTTTCTAGCATCTTCATTTCTCAACCAAAGCGAGCTTTTACAGGCTCTTCAGAAAACTTCTTAAAATCTCAGTATGAGAAATAATCCGAATTTTCCTAAACTATATAGCAGATGAAACTGAGTGTATTTTAAAGTTTGAAGCACTTTGGCTGAGAAATGAAGATGCTAGAAGGCTTTTATTTTACTATAGTCACAGTAGAAAAATCGAATTTTCTGAAGGATTCATCTTTCGAGGTTTCTTTAATCAAGACAGGAAAACAAACATTGCCACGAGATTCAGTGAGTCCGAAAACATATGTACCATGGATTAACCGACATTTGAGCGCCGACACTTGAGCTACCGACATTTGAGCGACCGACACTTGAGCGACCGACATTCGAGTAATAACGACAGTTCAGCACCAAGCTCTCCGCTCCCCCTCACCCTCATTTGAGCGACCGACATTTGAGTAATCGAAGTGAATAATCATTCGACTTTCCTGATCGGCAAAAAGTCATCTTGAAAAATGTCTAATGTCGGAGCTGCTCAAACGTCGGTCGCTCAAATGTCGATCCCTAAAGTGTCAGTCGCTCAAATGTCGGTCGCTCAAAGGTCGGGACCGCTCAAATGTCGGTCGCACAAACGTCGGTTGACGGTACCATGTACTTTTGAGATTCTCAGACTCTAGATTTAACTGATAGATAGGTTCCTGGAGATTGTCGGTGGCGCCCAAATCACGGGAGGTGGAGACTTGGGACTTGCGTCAGGTTGTAGAGTGACACCTGTTGTATATCTGTTGTGCTTAGAGCAGTACTTTGCTATGTAGATTTTTGGAATGACAGACTGCCACATTTTGTTTCGAAAAGTAAATCATGGTAAATCTTTTCGGTTGGCCGAATGTTTTCATAGGATTATTGCTCCAACTGTCTAGTTTCAAAAGCTGAAAACCGCAGGACATTATCTCATCCCTATCAAAATGTATTCGTAAAACATCCGAGTCCACTATATTTTGAAATGGATAGTACATCATGAATAATATCTAGAACCGTGATTTGTTCCACCTTATGTAACTAGGCATGCACCGGTCGCAACGTACGAAGTTAGTGTCAGCAGACAAAATATGGAAACTTTAATTTTTGACATTTTTGATTATCTAAATCTGTCAGATGCTTGCTTCGCGGTGAAAAATGCCAGTTATCAAGAACTAGTATTTTTCTGGCTAATTAACCAAATTGATCTACGCAGATCAAATATGTGGAATTTAATTTGTGACATCTTTTATTCGCGGCTCACACATCTACGATATTTCCTTACGGAGAAAAGTAGTAATTACGTGTATTTTCTCCTCGAACTTAACGTTGTAGTAAATCGTCACGATGTCATACAATTCGACCTTATGTAACTAGGCGTGCACCGGTTATTTTGGTTATATGATCAGAAAAAGAAACATACGGCATACCTCATCTATTAAGGGACATATAACAGATAACTGTCAATTAGAAACTCCTGAACTTTTCGGCATAAATAGAGTATTTTTTCCATGTGAGCAGAATTGCTTTAAGGACCGTGACCATAAAAACCGTCTGGGACCGGGACAGGACCAAAGCAACTTCACGAGATCGGGAACGGAACCTGAACAACTTTACAGGATCGGGATCGAGATGGGATCGGGATTGAAAAATCTTGGTCTCGTCCATATCTACCCTAGACTCTTAGTCAAGGGAAAATAATAGATTAATATTGTTCAAATTGTTTATTTAGATAACTAGTATGGATCATCCTCATTCTTCTAAACATAAGAAGATTTTAGAATGGCATTGTACTCAATGTTCATACATAAATTCAACAGACTACGAACTATGTATAATGTGCGGACTAGGTGAACAACCTCTGCCGTTACAAACAAAATATAATATGAATAACAACTTAAGAAAAAAACATCCAAACAAACACCAAGATATATACAGCTCTAATACAAATATCAACACTTCCGATGAAGAAATATTTTTTATAAAACAACAACAGCATGAAAATCCTACAATTATTACAAATGAGGTAAATTGGACTTGTGGTGAATGTACACTTGAAAATTTACCTTCCATCAAAATATGTGAAGTATGTGGTGCTAATCGAGCTTTTTCAGAAATAAATATGCCTGTGATAAATACTATGGAAGCAACAAATGTACAATCATCAACCAATAATACAACTATTTATAACAATAATTCTGGTTCCATCGAATATTATGTTCCTGAAACAGAATATGAATCAAAATATCAACAATCACTAGAATGGGATTGTAGTAAATGTACATATATGAATTCAATAAATGATAAGATATGTGTTATATGTAATAATGGAAGTCGACCAGCATCGTTACAATTAGCTAATAACATCTCTATCGATAACAAGTCTACAGATTCAAGACACAAACAAATGTCAGTTGAACAGCACGATAGAAAAGTTAACAGTCAAACAAAAGTGAGAAGTGTTTCTCACAAACAAAATGAATATAATAACAATATTACTACCGACAACAATTATATATCTCAGCAATCACTCTGTGGACAATATAATATTATTCCTACAAATGAACAAATTTCTGCTTACCCTGAAAATGGACCCATATCGAAAGCATCTACTACATATTCAATTTCTCAGAGTATCAGAGACGTTGATGAAGATGTAAAAGTGTACATTATTGATTTACCACATACTATACCTGATGAAATACTTGAACCAGCAATTAGATCACGTCTTGAAACATGTTATAATATCAAAGTAAAAATAGTTAAATGTTATTCAATTATAGGAATTGGTATTATAACTTTACAAAACCATGATAAGATCAATTTATTAACTAAAATTCAAAATATTTTATTAAATTTTACAATTAAAACAGTTACACTTACATTTGTTGAAGAACTTGAATTAATTTCTTATATGGTATTAGATCATATTGACAAACAAAAACTTCCATCAAATGAGGAAATAAAACAGAAATGGATTAATACATTTCCAGCTGACAAATCTCCAATATTTCAAACAATATCAATACAATTTCCAAATATTATTGAAATGACATCATATTCAATTGGAGAATTAATGAAATTTATAAATAATGATGTTTTTCTAGTTAATGAACAAATTGCAAGAGTATTTATTCGAGGTAATTGTTATTATGTTGAAGATTTACCTCAGTCAATACAAAATTCAGATTTATTATTTTGTTATATTGCAACACAATTAGATATGTGTGAACAAGATTGAAATAAATCTGAAGATTGTGAAAAAAAAGCACAAGAATTATACAAAATACTACAAAATACTAATCTATCAGAAGAAATCAAACAATTAAAATCATCATTATATATTCAATTAAATAAAGAATCAGCAAATGCAATAATAATAGCTTCAAACAATAAAGATAATCCATTAATAATAGATAAATGGATATCAATGAGTTTTGTTAATATTTGTGGACAATGCAAATATAAAAGTAAAAATATTTCATATAAATTAATAGTTAAATCAATTCCAAAAAAATTATCAAATGAAACACTTATTAATCATAAACAATTTCAAAATTGTGTTAAAACTATTGATATAATTGGTGAAAATGCTATGATTGAATTAAATAATAAAATTGTTTGGGAAGAATGTTTAAAAACAGGTTCACTTCGAATTGATTATCATCTAATTCGACATTTAACATTAGAAATAAGTCCATATACTATAATAATTGATCCTGATAATAGTCCAATAACATTTGATAATTGGTATGGAAATCGAATGTTAGATTATAAATCTGATATAATGCAATTTGATTTTAAAAAAGATCAAATATTTCGTTATAGATGGAATTCAAA